TTGCCGACGCTATGTTCCAGGATCGGGATAACGAGAGACGGATGATATCGAACGGGATTTCAGTTCGATGGGAAACTTGTGGCGAGAGAAGAGTGCGAGAGGTAGACGAGCGCCGCGACACGATCGCGATTCATACACACTGTACGCGCCGTGCTCCGTGATATATAACCCTTTCGATGTCGAGAGGGGGAACGACACTTAAGATTTAAATAATCGTACGCATTTAAGTGACGATCGTTTACGATACGAGAACGCGCGAGCAGCGGCTGATTGATAAGAAGTCGAATGCATCGTTGCAGTTGTAACAGTACGCGCGCACACACGTAAACACACACATATACACACACGCAAGAACATAGACATGCAGATTGATAGAGAAAAGAGTGTGAGATTATGGAAATTCAGGCTGCGCGAGCTCGATCTGAAACGCTGTAAAACGCTGCCCGAAACCCGCGCAGATCCTCGCTTCGACGAAGAGCTCGATCTTTCATGCGCGTCGCTTCGAGAGCTGATTTCTAGAGAATTAGGGCAACCAGAGGAGAAAGCTAGCTATTGTATTAGAGTCACAGGTTAAATTGAGAAAAGGGGAGCTTTTCGAAGCAGAACGAATCCAAGACGGTAACTCTCTGCTTTAAACGTCGGCTGGCGGACGTCGGGTCCATTTCGACCCGGGGTTTCGATGATATAGGTGAAAATTTTGCGGCAGACAGATTTGTAATCAACTGTTGATATATCGAATCGAATGGAAGGATCGACTTTCGGTCTCGATGAGGTTTTAGGTTTAAAAATAGGCGAATGAATATTGATCGCGAAATTATGGACCCGCTCGAAAATGTCCGCCAGTCGAGGATTAAATGTCGGTCGCTGTGTCATCGGAAGCACGCTAATTGCAACATGGTGTCGTATTATGTTCGGTGCACAGGAAGAGAGAATTCTTTCTCGCGGAGAGGACGATGCGTTTGGTTTCGTGCAGCGTTTCAACGCTGTCGCGCGCGCGCGGACGCAATGATGAAGCATCGTACATGAAGACATACATACATACATACATACATACGTACATTCATACATGCATATATACATACATACATTCATATATACATACATACATACATGCATACATACATTCGTACACATACAGGGAGACAGGTACACACGTTCGATAGACGCCGAGGAGAACACAGCGGAGAAAAACTACCAGAAGTAAATAAGTAATTATATCGATGAGCTCGATGGACTCGTGAAACGTGATATTAGGCCGAAGCTTGCCTCGAGATTGCTTAAGGACTCACTCGTACTGCACTGCCTGTTTAGGGTTTCGCTAGCGACCCAACATATTATCGGCACAATAATTTTTCTTAAGCAACGTAAAACCGAGAAAATTGAAAAAAAGATAAGGGGAAACCAAGTAACAAGCAAACGGAGGAAAAAAAAGGATAAAATAAACTAAAATATAAATAAAATACAAGTAATGTAAAGAGAAACGAAGAGAGGAGTAGGAGAAGAAGAAGAAGAAGAAAAAGGAGAAGAAGAAAGATGAGGATGAGGAGGAATATAAAGAGAAATGAATCGTATTCAGGCGAGCGCGCGCGCGCGTTTTCCCGCTCGGCGTACACGCGCGTGCACGCCTTCCCGCGACATCTCGATAAGAAGAAGAAGAGAGAAAAAACGAAAAAAAAGAGAACACACCGCTCGCCGTCTTTTTCTGCGCGTGGATCGCGTGATAATTATGTAATTATCGGGCCTCTTTCGCTCGCAATACCAACGCAAAACGATTTCGGGCATCGCGCACCCGCGGCTACCGAGAGACACTTACATACCAAGAGAACAAAAAAAAACGAGATAAAACGTTACACACGCATATATTATATATATATATATAAATATACACACACACATCCTCGAGAAGAACTGCCAACATAATCGACGAGAGGGAGGAGGAAAACACGTCGATCCGTCGTCATGATCGTCGCCGTCGCCGCCGCCGTCGTCGTCGTCGTCGTCGTCCGATCGTCGCGACGGAGATCGAACTCGCGGGGAGCTGAAGAGGCCCTAATTCTTCGAGAGACACGCGACGGCAGTTTTCGGCGATCCCGCGAAATCGATTCGGCCGCCGCACTTGGACGCGGTTGGTCGATTAAAACGCGTCGTCCTCGAGCAAGACAGAACGCGGCTGTCTCGGACATTCGGGCGAAAACGTTCGCCAAAATTTAGACAAATTCAGGGCAGACACCAGGCTGATGCACCGACCGCGATCGTTGCGCGTCGACGACGAGTAGGCTGCGGATTTCGACAAAGATGCGCGCTCGCGACGAAGACGACCGTGTCAAAGAAATTCTGACGCGGTAAAAACGTCGAACACATTGTAAAGTATCGGTTAATATTTGTTCCCGAAATCACAAAAACACCCGAGCGGCTCCAGCTTCTCGCGAGAAGCATTCATTTCGCGCGGAAATCCGCGGTCTCGAAGAATCGAAGGAAATTCCGAATCGCTGAACGAAACGATTCACCCGCGACATTTTTATTTCGCGCGAAGCTCCGCCAACGGCGTCGCTAAGAAAACCGTTGAATCGGCCCGTCCGCGAGAGAAATCGTAACGCGAGGAATCATCGTTCGAGGAAACTTCTGTGAAAGCAAAGACCGCGCATGTTTCAGCGAATCGCGTTCGCGCGGTCGGTGCATGTGACCGGTGCATACACCGAGGCTCTCGGTGCCGGTATATCGATCCCCTGTTATCGATTGACCCCGAATTATTGTAGGTCGAAGCCCGTGGCCGGGCCCGAGAGCGTGTCGATGGTGAAACACGGGCTAAATTCCGCGACCGCGGACGGAACGAGAACGCGACCTAAGCCGAGGGGACACACGTCGGGGACCGGTCCCGTCCCCGCTTTGTAAAAAGAGAGACAAATGGTTCCCGAATTCGCGGGAGAGCACCCACACACACACACACACACACACACACACATACACACACGAACACGCATATACCACCCACCTCCCCGATATCCAGTTTCCTGCGTTCGGACGATCGACGGGGAGACAAAACGACGATCGAACGCTCTCGATCCGCGGCCACGCGCGCAGCTCCCGGATCGTCGAGTTGCCCTCTGCGTGTCTCCGCAAGCAAGTTTCACTTTGTTTTTATAGTACAAACACTTATTTATATACGTACGTAATTATACATACTTATATTATATAAAGTATTAGCAAGGGCCCTACTCACGATTCAACTATAACGAGAAAGAAGGAAGAAAGAAAGAAAGAAAGCGAGAGAGAGAAAGAGAGAAAGAGGAGGCCGAAAATCCGGGCGGACACGCTCTCTCGGCTATGTAGAATCGTTCCGCTCGTTCCGAGACGGTAGAGAGGGAGCGAGCGTGTTGTCTTGCGGTGCGTGGGTGTGATACAGACGAGAGAAGGACGAGAGGGGGAGAGAGAGAGAGAGAGAGAGAGAAAGAAATACCGGGTTACGCGAACGAGAGGCGAAGCGAGGAAGAATGCACGCGCGTGTCACCGATAGGTAACACGGTTTTTCAATCGTCGTTCGTTCGAGAGAAAGAGAGAGAAAGAAAGAGAGAAAGAGAAAGAATGCGAGAGAATGCGAGCGAGAGAGAAAAAGAGAGAGAGAGAATGAAACAGAGAGAATGCAAGTGCGCGAGAGTGAGAATGAGAGGAACGCGGAGGTCCCAGGAGGATGCTAGAGAAACAAAAGGGGTGACGCGAAAGAGTACCAATATTCTAAAGTAATTCTAATGGTTGACTTAATAATTTGATAATTAATTGATATTGTAAATCGTAAACGACCGTAGCGTGTAGCGTATTAATCAACGAGAACGACGAACGCGGCGACGATTAATTCTATTTACATTAATTACATGTATTGCCCGGGATTTCGAGAGGAACGAAGTCAGAGCGAGAGCGAGCGAGAGAAAGAAATCAAGCAAGCAAGCAAGAAAGAGAGAGAGAGAGAGAGAGAGAGAGCGATTCGTGAGAGGAAAAGGAGAGCGAGGGGCCGGCGCGCGATCGTGCCGCGCAGAATAATCGTGTTTCGATCGGTCGTCGCCGATTGTATCATAGCAAGAATCGCGTTAGAGACACGCCTCGATCTTCATACATACATATATTACATATATATATATACATACACGTATGAATGTATATATATATATATATATACATATATAAAAGCGTGCACGATCTCCGCGATAAACGTCGACGAGCATAATCGGAGTCCGATCGATCGCGTCGCGACTCCGCGAGAGCGTGGGGAACGATCGAAGAACACTTTTGTACCGCGATCGGGATTATACAAACGACGTTTCCCACCCGCGCGACGTCGACGATCGGACGACGGACCGTCGCGCGAATTTTTGGCCGTCGACGAAACATTATCGTAGCTCGAACTAAGGAAAGGAGGAGAAGACCGGGGAACGTCGAAACGAGCCGCCGACGCCGATTTTTACCCGGGGGCCTCTTCTTTCGCCGGCCCCTCGGCGAGCTCGAGCATCGAGACGAGGGACGCGGGGAAACCAACCAATCGACATAGGCATATAAGTAACGTGTAGATATATCATAGTTAGATACAACGATCTCAAGAGGACGCGCGGAGAGTGGACGATCGCTCGGATCGGCATGGATCGGATGCGGGCGTAATTCGAAAGTTTTTTCGAGAGTGCGTGTCTGTCTCTGTTCTGCGTTTGTGCGTGTATGAAAAGAGCGAGAACGTGAGAGAGCGAGAGAGAGAGAGAGAAAGATATAATTAGCGAGTAAAATATTATATATGTGTATACAGAAATCGAAGGATTCGATCCGGATCGAGAGAGCAAGAAAGAAAGCGAGAGAGAGAGAGAGAAAAAGAGAGATTGGACAATGGTTCCGCGCGATCGCGTGTGTTTACGAAATAATAATATGGTTGAATCGTGAATTCGTTCGTGTAACGTTCGTCATCAACAATCATTACCGATAACTTCGTTTCACGTCGTCTATTCCTTTCGTTCCGCAAAAGGCCTTTTTCTTCTACTCTCCCAGCCCTCCCCCATCCCCATGTCACCCACACCGGTTCCACTTTTCATCTCCCCCATCCCCCGCCTCTCTTTACTTCTGTCTACGAGTTTCTATTTTTTTCATTCGAGATTTTCTCTCTATTTCTATTGTTAATCTCGAAGGGTTCGATCGTCACACGGCTTTCTGATTTGCGTTCGCGACACACGGATACAAACACACGCATACAATCACATGTACACAGAGAAAGAGAAAGGGAGAAAGAGAGAGATAGACACGTTCGTAATTTATTTCGAGTTCGGGGGCACCGAGGACACCGCCGGATATGGGACACGGATGAAATTAATTTAGGTATTCGCTGTTTACGTACCTGAAAGCCATCCTAGGCATAGCGTATTTCACGGGAAGAGGACATTCTCATCCGTCGGAGAAAGAGAAAGCGAGAGAGAGAGAGAAAACGAGAGAAAGAGAGAGAGAGAGAAGTGCTCGTGCGGACCACGAGCAGCAGGCTTCGGATCGAGCGGGCGATCGGCGCAGATCGAGAGCGGATCGATCGGCGGCACAGATCGAGAGCGGATCGATCGGCTCGCCATTCTTTCGTTAAAAAACACCGACCTTTTCGTTTGATCCGCGTGTACGGTCGGGGGTTACCAGTTGCGGTCGCGTTCGAAACGGTTTCACACGGTTTCAACACCGGGAACTTCTCGCGCGTCCCGGCGCTTTTACGTCGGAACGGTTTAGATCGTTGTTCTCCCGCGTTTAGTCTTTAAAAAAAAACCGCGATCGCTTCGGAGATAGGAGGTCGGTAAAAGCTAGAACGTCAAACACCGTCGAACCCGGTAGACAATGAGACGAGCGGCGTCGCGCGCGCGTCTCCGACACCTTTTCGGCGATTTTCTTCCGACGAGAAAAGATCTCGCGATGATTCGACGGTCCGCGGCGAACGGAGCGGAACAATTAGAGTGCAGCACCCCGCGTCGAACACGGTAGATAGCCAAATCGGTGCACCGATCACACCATTCTCTCGATCGAAGATACCGGGTGGCCGCGAGGATTAGGGATCATCCGCGTCGCGAACACCGTGATGAAACGCGTTAGAAAAATTAGCACCGGCACGCCTACACATTACACACACGTATACACGCGCGCGCGCAACAGTAACGTTCTTCTGTACCCGTATGTCCTCTACTTTTCTGGCTTGTCGTCCCCCATCCCCCTCCCCCCGCCCTCCTACACAGCCCATTTTCGTCCTGTACGCGCGACACGAATAAGAGACGAGACGAAAGAGAAGGATAGAACGAAGAGAACGATAGCGAGAGCGAGAGAGAGAGAGAGAGAGAGAGAGAGAGTCGACCGCGAGACAAATCGAAGTGAGAATGGGAGAGAATGAGAGAGCAAGAGAGAAAAAGAGAGAAAGAAATAGGTGGTGCGTATATTTCGTTTGTAGATCGCGAGTGCTCGCTTATCCACCCTCCATTTTTCACCGTTTTATTGATCGACCTATGCTTCTCTCGCGAACCTCTCCCCCTGCCCACCCCCCCCCCCCCCCCCCCCCCCCCCC